GTTAGGTCAACTGCCTCGGGAATTGACCGGGACAACGACCGGCGGAGGAATAACCGGCCAAGGGAGCGGCAACGTGCTCCTGAAAAAGAACACATCGGCATGATCTTCGGCGGACCTGAGGGTGGAGATTCGGCCGCGCAACGGAAGAACTGGGTCCGGAGCATTTACATTGGTGAGGTAAGCGTTGAACCGGCCAGGCGTAAACATACTAGGAGGGAGCCGATTGTCTTTACTGACCGGGATCTCCCTCCTACCGGTGAACATCACAATGATCCATTGGTCATCACCATGGACATTAATGGGGTGGATGTCACCCGGGTACTTGTTGACACCGGCAGCAGTGTCAACATCTTATACCTGGAGACTTTCCAAAAACTCAGGTTGTGTCGGACACAACTTGAACCCCTCAAAACCCCTCTATCAGGCTTCACGGGAGACACAGTGGAGGCTGAAGGGTCCATAGTTCTACCGGTCGAACTAGGATCCGGTGAAAGAACCGTATGGAAGAAGATGCTGTTCATAGTTGTGGACATCAAATGCGTCCACAACGCAATCCTTTGAAGACCGGGCATCAATAACGTCGGAGCAGTGATTTCCATGCCTCACCTATGCATGAAGTTCCACACTCCAGGTGGTGTGGGTGAGGTGAAAGGCGACCAGAGGAACGCCCGGGAGTGCTATGCTCAGGCAGTCAAGAAGATGACCAAGGGGGTCAATGTCATCTCCCAAGAGATCACAAAGGGAGAGACCCGGGAGAAATTGGATCCCGAGGCCGAGACATTGGAAATCGAACTTCACCCGGGTGACTCTTCGAGGATGGTCAGGATTAGAGCAAATCTTCCCGAGGATCTCAAGGCAGAGATTACACGGGTCCTCCAAGAATACGCGGGCATATTCGCATGGAGCGTGGCGGATATGCCCGGAATAGATCACTCTGTTACCTGCCACCGGTTGGCCGTGAGGGAAGGAAGTCGATCGGTATGTCAGAAGAAGCGGTACCTGGCCAGCGACCGGCGAGACTTCGTCAAGAAGGAAGTGAGGGACCTCCTCAGTGTTGGTCACATCCGGGAAGTCAAATACCCGGATTGGCTGGCCAACATTGTCCTTGCTCCTAAGGGCGACACGTGGAGAATGTGTGTGGATTATACGGACTTGAACAAGGCTTGTCCGATGGATTCATACCCCCTTCTCAGTCTAGATCAAATGGTGGACGAAACCGCGGGGTGCGAACTCCTAAGTTTCATGGATGCCTTCAAGGGTTACCACCAAATCTACATGGCCAGGGAAGATGAAGAGAAGACATCATTCCTCACACCTGAAGGAACTTACTGCTACTGGGTAATGGCATTTGGCTTGAAGAACTCAGAAGCAACCTACCAGCGCATGGTGAACAAACTCTTCAAGCCACTACTGGAAAGACCATGGAAGCATACGTCGACGACATGATGATCAAAATCCAGGTATCTCTCAACCACCCGGCTGATATGCGAGCCACATTCGATATCATGGCAAAATACAACCTCCGGCTGAATCCTAAGAAATGCGTCTTCGCGGTTCGTACCGGGAAGGTCTTGGGATTCATGGTGACCAATAGAGGAATAGAGCGCAACCTAGAAAAAATCCAGGCCATCACTGAAATGCAGGCCCTACCTCCGTTAGGGATGTTCAAAAGTTGACCGGTCGTCTAGCGGCCCTCAGCCGGTTCCTTTCCCGGTCAGCTGAGAGATCCCTCCCCTTCTTCAAGATTCTGAAGAAGGCCAACACGTTTGCATGGGACGAAGAATGCCAGAGGGCATTTGGAGAGCTGAAAGAGTACCTAGTGTCGGATATTGTATTGTCTAAACCCGAACAGGGTGAAACTTTGTATCTGTACCTGGGAATTTCCCCAAATGCTGTAAGCTCCATTTTTATAAGAGATGATGGGGCGCAAAAGCCCATTTATTATGTGAGCAAAGCACTAAACGGAGTAGAAAGTAGATATACGGCGATGGAAAAGACAGCCTATGCACTTTTCATCTCCGCAAAAAAGTTAACATCCTACTTCCAAGCTCACGAGTGGAAGTCTTGACTGACCAACCGCTGGGTGCAGTGTTGCGAAATTCAACATCCTCCGAGAAGATGGTGAAGTGGGCGATGATGTTAACTCTATTCAACATTGAGTACCGGCCAAGGTCAGCAATCAAGGGACAAGCCCTTGCTGACTTCCTAGTAGAAATGACCGGTCTAACTCCAGACCTACTGGTCAACAAGCCCATTGAGCAATGGTGGGAGATGGCAGTTGATGGGGCATCCGGTCCTAGAGGATACGGGGGTGGTATCGTGTTCACCACCCCAGAAGGGTTCAAGATCTACCATGTAATCGTCTTCAACTTCAAACTGACGAATTATGAGGCAGAATACGAAGCTCTGGCTAGAGGGCTCAGACTTGCCTAAGCCCTGAAAATCAGCCGGGTCAGTATCAAATCTGACTCTAGCCTGATTGTTGGGCAAGTGACCGGTAACATGGAAGCAAGGGAAGGACGCATGGCACAATACAAGGAGCTCGTGCTCGCCCTGTTGAAAGGCTTCGAGGAATTCAAGATCACCCAAATTCCCCGGGCGGAGAACGCGGATGCAGACCTTCTCTCCAAGTTGACGAAGTATGCTCCCGAGCATGTTTCAAAACTTGCCCGGGTGGAGATCCTGGATCGAGCAAGCATCGAAAAATTGGAAGTCACCGCTATAACAGCAGGAAGCCAATCTGACCGGTCAAACCTGGTCGGGGAGGACAACCATTGGATGTATGATCTGATGGAATATTTGATGGATGGGAGCTTGCCAGAACAAGATGACCGGGCAAGAAAAGTGAAGCTCAGGGCACCCCGATTCCAGGTTCTTGATGGAAAGCTGTATAAAAGGGCATTTGGGGGGCCACTCATGAGATGTCTAACCAACCGGGAGGCTGAGCGAGTCATAAAAGAGGTCCACGAAGGCGTATGTGCGGCGCATCAAATGTCCCGTACGCTTTCCCAGTGCATCATCTTATTGGGGTATTACTGGCCAACAATTGTCCAGGATTGTGAAAGGTATGTTCAGAAATGCAGAACATGCCAAGTGTTCTACAAGTATCCCGGTAGACTCGCGACCTACTATCACCCCGTATCGAATGCCATCCCATTCGCTAGGTTTGGGGTTGATATCATTGGAGCCTTCTCAGTCGCCCAAGGAGGGAAGAAGTTCGTAATCGTGGCCATCGATTAATTCACCAAATGGATCGAGGCCGAAGCATTAGCCAACATCACCACGCAGCAATGCAAGAAATTCATTTGGAAGAACATCATCACGAGGTTTGGAGCGCCCATGAACCTCATCACCGACAACGGCCCACAATTCCGAAATCCAAGATTCACCGAATACTTGGAGGGCTTCGGAATCAAGCATAATCGCTCTTCGCTGGCGTACCCCCAAGGAAATGGCCAAGTCGAAAACGCCAACAGAACTATTGTAGATGGTTTGAAGAAGCGGCTGGGGGAAGCAGGAAACAAGTGGCTAGAAGAGCTCCCGCACATCATTTGGGCGTTCTGAGTAACACCTAGGACGGCTCATGGGGAAACTCCATTCTCCCTAACCTATGGGTGTGAAGCAAGGCTGCCCATCGAAGCTGAATTCCCAACGTTCTAGGAATCAAATTATCAACCCCAACAAAATGAAGAAGACCATCTATCCGAGCTCAACTTGGTCGAGGAACGAAGGATGGCGGCGGAGGTGAGGATGAGTACATACCAACAAGTTGTGAAGATGTACCATAACAACAAGGTTGGGCCGCGATATTTCCAAGTCCGCGATGAAGTCTTGCGATGAAGAAAAGCGAGTAGACCGGGCGATGGAGGAAAGCTGGCAAAAAACTGGGAAGGCCCATACAGGGTTAGAGCCATCATTCGCCCAGGAATATACCGGTTAGAAACTTTAGACGGTGTACCGGTAGAAAGAACTTGGAACTCCCACCATCTTCGCAAGTTCTACAAATGATTGTAACACTAGGCAAGGCCTACTTCTATTAAATAAAGGAAGTTCAGTATTCTACTTGGTAGCAGCGGAATTGATAGGTCGGACCTATCCTAGGAGGGCTTCCTGGGTGGATCGAATCCACTTAGATAAGCCAACTGAGACACATGCCCGGACCTGGCACGCTGGTTACTACACCGGTCTTGCTCAGTATATTAGAAAAAATATTAAAACCCGGAAGAGGGGCCCGGAAGAGGGTATGCCTGCTAGAGGGCTGGACCTGGAAGAAGGTTCGAACCGTACTTACACGGGCCCATGAGGTTTAACCGGTATCGGGGAATCAGCCGGTACCGTCAAATTGATTGGGGACTAAAAGATGCCCATTAAAAGAAATAGAAGGGGATCGTCCACCGTGGCGCATCCTGTTTCCCCCTTCTCAGGGAAGACTTGAATGGGGGGTGAGCTAAGGCCTTCCCAGGATAGTAGAAATTAAGGGGCCATTAAAAGACTTAATCACCTGGAAGAGGGGGCCCTGGAAGAAGGGTGCATTTGAACCTTGGAGAGGGTTCGAAACCATTCGACATGGTTAAATCTCCAGTATTATTACCGGTTAAGGATACTTCAAGAATTACTAGGTTACAAGTGCTTCCATCTACAACCTACCGGTGACAAAAAAAAAGAATACCCCGGTTGGGTATTGATACAACGGAACTTCGAAAGTTTTACAAGGCAAAGTAGTTGATCGGCCAGACCGTGGGGTAGGAACCTACCGGTCAAACGGTACTTTATCGAAAAGCCAAAATGAAGTTTAGCCGGTGAAACGTTTTAAAGTTGATCATTAAGATGAAGACATTCAATAGAGAAAGTTGCGTGCCGGTCAAAGTAAGATAGCAAAAGAGAGAGCAAAGTATCAATCAACGAGCAAGCAGATGTGGAAGATTAACTAGTACGAAAAACAAACATTGCATTCAACAAAATAAGAAAGTTAAGTGTTTTACAACTACACCGGGCATCCCCGGGGAAATGAGTTTGAAGTTTTACAAAACGATTCAACCGGTCGCAGCCGGGAAGATTACTCGAGAGGAAAAGGAGGTGTAGGTTCTTCGTCCGAGATGGGGGCCAGTCCGTATGATTCAGCATTAAAATCCTGAAACCGTTTAGCAAGGATCGCATGTGTGGCCTCCTGGTCTCTTTTTTGGTCGGACATGAAACCATAGGAGCCGATCTGCGTGATCATCTCTTTCCCCTGCTCCTCCCGGTAGATGAACTTGAAGTCCTCCATCGTCACCTCCGGAGTAGATGTAATCACCCGAGCCATCTCCTCCAAGTTCTCCCCCACCCATTGCTTGGCCCTGCCGGGGAACTCTCGCTCCTTCAGCTCCAAGTCCTCCATCAGCTTCAAGTTCTCCTCCTTCAACTGGAGGGTCTCTACCTTGGCCCCCCGGCAATCACTGAAAGATTGGCCAACTCATCAAGCTGCCGGGCAATCAGGTCCTGCAGCTCCCGGTTGTGGGCTTCGACTCCCTTTAGCTTCTCCTCCAGCTGAAGGGAGGGGGAGTCCTCTGCGAGCTTCTCCAAAGTCTCTGGGCCGACCTCGCCCATCTGTGAATTGGAAAGCAAACCGGTTAGAAAAATAAGCGAGCAGGTTGTTAAAAATAACATACCGGGAGAATGATACCTCTTTCAGCTTAAGGGTCATCTTGACCCACAGCTCCTCCATCGATTCTCCAACCGGGGAATTTTCTCCCCTTCTCCTCTTCGCCGCCGGGTGTGTGGTGGCAACTTTCTTCATCCTCATCTTCCCAAGAGGGGGTGGAGGGGAAAGACGGTACCACTCTCTAAGGAAGCAATATGAAAACCTATCCTATTGTTCCGGTGAGGTTCTATGATGTTGGACCAGTTCTCGTCGTATTCAAGAACATAACCCACCGGGAGATTCTTATAGGCCTTATTCAAGGCTATCTTTAAACGTGGGGATAGATGTCTGTAACAAAGGAATTAGGGAGGGGAGAGTAACCGGTTGCTTCCAGCCTCTCCACCCACTGATCCTGGGTCTCATTATCCGGGTCATAGGGGGCCGGTTCGTCGCTGACCGGCTTCTCCCTATCCGCAAAAACCTGACCGGGCATTTGGTTCACCGGCTGAGGTTCGGGGATATTGGGTTTTCGAGCTGACCGGGTATCAAGCTTGGGTGAAGATGACCCGGTAGAGGAAGAAGATAGGGATTCCTTCGATGCGTAGGCATCTGAGGCGGAAATATCCTGACTATCGGGAGAAGACATTTACCGAAAGGAAGAATGGAGAATAAAGAAAGCTAAGGAAGAAAGAAGGGAGCTTACTTGACTCGGAGGGCTAGGAGGCAAGAGAAGGAAGCTTGACCGGTAAAAGCTCTAGAAACGAATTGCGAAGAGTGAGAAAAAAAGAGGGGTGGAGCTCTTTATATATAGGTGAAGAAGGAAAGGAAACGGGCGACGTGGCCACTCGAGGGCGCGCCGCGTCAGGCGGCGCAATGATGGTGCATGGGAAGACGAACGGACGGGCTGATAGCGCTTCAGAACGAATAGTTGAGGCGCGACACGTGTCTGAATTCGAATTTTGAATTTCAAATATCGAAACCCTTGGGCGGGAAAAGCTGAGATTCAAAATTAAAAGCCTTGTTTCAGATTTTTTTTACTTCCCGCTTATGACAAAATTGCATAACCGAGAAGTGGAGGGCTTATTGATGGGTGTATCTCACCCATGACCGGTCAAAGGACGGAGCCGAATAGTTGACCGGTCAAAGAGGTTAATCTTGAATAGAGGACCTGAATCGTCAGCGAAGGGGATAGATGGTTGACCAAAAGGTTGACCAGTACACTTCGGATAGTATACCGGTCAAACTTTTCTATCGTCTAAATCCATCCTTCGAAGCTAGCTAATCAACCCTCAAAACTCAACCGGAGAAGTTTCCAAAGATTAAAGGGTGTCGGCAGGAAGAGTCCAAAAGGACTTGGACTGTTGTGAGTGGCATTACTGGAGAATCAGTGGAGATGCCAAAGGAACTTTTCCAAACCAGAACACGACAAGGGCACAACCCCCCTCGCAAGATGACAAGGTAGCTCAGGGACAGTCACCTCGCACCACATCAGCAGCGTGCCCCCACGTGGGCGCACGTGGCCTTGTCCCCCCAGCTTAGTATATATACCTCTTGTAACCCTCGAAGAAGGGGATCCGAATTCATTCTCTCTAAACTCCCTTGTAAAAGCATCCATGCATTCTCTGTTAAAATATAAATTAGGCTACAGGTGTTCCACCTAAAGTCCTACCGGTCAATCTACGTGTTTTTTCCTTTCTTACTTTACCAAGTCAAGCAAACTATTCTAGACCCGGTCTAGTATAGTTTGACCGGTCAAGTAATATACACCATCAAGTTCGGTTCTGAAAACTATGATTGCAGCACTGTCACAATAACAGATGACAAACAGAGTGTTATAACATCTTCTCTGTCACAAGCACACACGCAGAATATAAATTAAAAGCCGTAAACAGTACACAAGAACTGTTTACGCCGTTCAAAGAACTCTCTTACGCCTGCGGGGCCCACGTCCGTGTAACAACCCTTCCAGTAAATCATCGTATGAATTACACAATCAAACACAATATAATCTTCCAATGTATTGATTTGTGTACTTATGAATGCCTTGACGACAAACTCTGTTTGCTTCTATCTCCATGGCTTGTTACACCTTCTCCAAGATCTTCTTCAAGGACGTAGATTCCAGTACACCTTCTAACACATATTTTTCCTTTCACTAAAAAAAATATGCAGGCTGGTCCGAAGGTCGTAAAGCAAGCTTGAACTGTTAGAATTCGATCTCCACCGTTCAGAATGAAGCTCCACGAGTCCTTAGACCCCTCCTAAAATTTCAGCACGATCGGACAAGATTTGGCACTCCAATCATCGACAAAACAAGACCTGCGTTTTCTGCAATAAACCAGCGTCAATATGTAGATCGTATTTTCGATAACTAAAAATCCGTAACTCTGATTGACGTGAAAATTGAACACGTTGAAGCCCTATGTGTTTGGTACCCTCTTTGAAAACTTCTGCAAAATCCAACTGTCAGATATTCGGCGATGATCTAATTCGTGCAGGCTTTCCAGAATATTTGCACTGTCAAAATCTGCGTCTTCTTCCTTTTCTTTTGATCAAATCTGCTTTGGTTATTTTGTATTTTCCCACCCCAAAATAGTAAGGGAAGGTGAAGATAATATATGGAATAGAATAACCTTATTAGAGTTTAGTTAGGAGTCTCAACCATGGCTTCCTCCACAAGAACAGTAAACCAAGTAGGATTAGAATTCTCTCTTCAAGCTCTTTCCTTTTTCTCTTTCTACACACGCTAGGACTCTATCTCTAAATAAAATATCTAAAATAATTCTAAGTAAGTCTATTCGTTTGTCAAAAAATAATGCCAAAACAATATGGAACTAACAATAATCTAGTCTGATATGGTCTAATCTGATATGATCATTCTAATAAAAATGAGTAATAAATAGAAGTATAAGTTGAACAGAACGTAGTCTACATATTATTAGGATAAAAAATTACTCCGTATTGCCACAACTATTTTGTGTTCATATAGTGTTCTGATATGTTTTTTTCGAGGATTGATCTGAATCTAATCGGAAATGATTCGATTAGATGAGCTATAAATAAATTTAATCTAATTTGATTTGACTTTAAAGATAAAAGTATGGCCAAATAGCACCAGTACCCCTGTGGTTTAGAAAATAGGCATGAATACCCTCTCTCTTTTCAAAACGTAATTCTAAAGTTCTCGTGGTTTTAGAGTATTGCACCCAAACCCTCTCTGATCCTTTTTCGACGAAGAAAGGGTCAATGGTGCCTATTATTATCGGTATAAATAAGAACTTGTTTCATTTCTCAGGTATGAACTTAACCATATTATCGATTGGAATGAATTTATTCTTGTTGAGAAATTGAAAAACGTGTTAGAGGTTTTTAATGATGTCACTCTTACTTTCTTGCATGTTTATAAACTTACGACAAACATATTTATTTTTGAGTGTATTACAGTTATTGCATGTTTTCGTAAAAGTTTATCTGATCCACATTTGTACCCTTATGTGTATCCTATAAAAGATAAATTATGTGCTTATTATTTATATATTCTTGATATTTATAAAATTGGTATTATTTGTGATCCACACTTTAAGATTGAGAATTTTAAAATTCTTATTGAGTAGTATTATAGTTGTGCTTTAGATGAAAATAGTTACTTTTATAAAGAATTAGTATAATGGACAAAAGAAAGAGATAATGCTATTGATCCTTTGGAGTTCTTATTTAAAGAATTTCAAGTTACAAACGGTACTCCACCAGAAGAAACAGCAGCTCCTCCTGTATCGAAGATAAAAAAGGTTTTAAATGGATAGTTGGTGGCCTTTTAACGAAAAAGGTAAACGTAGCTCTTTGTCGATGAGAACGGGTGGTACAAGTGTAAGTTTGCACAATGAACTTGCTATGTAGCAAGGCATTCCACGCGACTACGATGAAGACAACGATACTGAGTTCGATGTCCTCAAATGGTGTGGAAGCTGAATGAACACATGTTCCCGTCACTTGAAATGCTAGCCAGACAAGTGTTATTTATCGCGATTTCAACTGTAATTGTGGAACAAGAGTTCAGTTTTAGCGGTAACATTCTAGTCGACTACTGAAGTTATCTTAGCGTTGAATCGCTTGATATATTTGTTTGCAACCGAGATTTGCTCTTGGCAAGGCATCGATCACAAGGGGCAGGCTACGATATTGATACACAAAATTACATTGATGTAACCACGGAGGGAAGTGATTGTTCTGATGATTAAATTTGTACATTTTATAAATTGTAATTTGTTTTTTGGGTGAGCGTTTTATAAGTTGATTCGAGTGTTTCTTTAAGGTTTTTTACCTTATCGCTTTTTATGAACCATAAGGATATCAAATTTAGTTGTAATATTCAACTTTGTTCATTTAAATAACTACATTATTAGAAATTATAAGAAGTTATAAATTTCTTTTACATTACATACAATATTATATTATTCATATATTAGATTTAGAAAAAAATCGAGAACCGGCCCGGAACCGGATCCAGAACCCAGGTTCTGGAGCCGACTGGGGAACCGGCTACGGTGGTGCCTGTTACTATTCCACTAGGTGGAGATCCACCGGTTCTGGAACTAGAATTGGACTGGAACTGCACCATGTTCAGCCCTAGCTCGTATTTAGCTTAGATGACAACCTGGAGTAATAATGTTAAATCGAGTAATTTCTCAGAGGAGTGGCAATAATTGTTGAATCTTGAAATATTGGCATAAAATCACCAATTTCTTGGAGTACTCATGTGAATTTGCTATTTCATTTTTTATCCGTTTTAAAAGAAATTAAACTAATTCACTTTCTCTTTAGGAAATGAATAATCCTTTATTTATCTTCAAAATATATTTAAAGCACACATTTTTACACACTTTTCAGCTAATAATTTTTATTTTTAATACTCCCTCCATCTAACAATGTTGTTTGACGAATGACAAATATTGTGAGATGGATGAACACTTTTTTAATGCTCCGTGAAGTTAATGATATTCCGAACTTAATTGCCAAACTTTTATAGAGATGGGGTGTAAATCAAGATAAAAGGAGCACGTTATAATTTATGAATCATAAAAAAATCATTCTTAATGCTAGTAAAAATTATTGGTGGCACCTATAAAAAATGTCTAATGAATTGAACAAAACAAGAGTGTTTAACTTTCAAAAGCTCATTTGACTTCAAAGACAGAAAATGTACTCCGCAGAAAGGAGTAGAATGGGGAAGTAGGGGAACACTAGAGAAAAGAAAAGGAACCCTCCCTCCTCTTTAGCCTTTTACTTCCACAATATATATATACTTTTAG